GCCCGAGAATCTAGCCAGCTTTCTACCCACCTTATAGTGCATTCATCCAGCCCATACTTCTTTAACTTGCTGACAAGATTCAGATTGCCCCTCTGCCTGATTCAGAGCAGGGATTTTAATCACACCTGAGGAGAGCATCCTAACCACTGGGCCATGAAGTATTCTGGGGGGGTCTCTCTCAATTTCTTCTGTTGAAGCTGTTCCACTTTGTATAAATAACTAAATATTCATTGGGCTAGATGAAGAGTGAGAATGACTCTGTGTTCTAGTGCTTAGGGCACTCACCTGGTACATAGGACTCAGACTAAAATTCATGTCCCTGTTGAACTTGAATCTCCCAAAGTTAATAGGGGCCCACTACCACTTGTGTTCTGTTAGCTGACCTCTGAGAATGCCTACCAGATTGGGTCCTGCAGGTCAGATAGGTGGGGAAATGCATAGTTTGAGGATCCTGCCAAGGCTTAGGTATTTGTATGATGGGACTGAGGCAGCTGTGCACATGCCCTGAGGTAGATCTTTACATGCCTAATGGACTGTACCAGCAGAAACTTACAGAATTAGGTGGCAGCTACAGAATTAGGTGGCAGCTGAGCAGGGGTTTTGAAGATCTAAATTTTGGACTTAGGTGTCTAAAATAGCAGTTAGGTGTATAAATCCCTTTGTGGATCTAGTCCTTTAGCCCTAAAAAAGGGCACACTGGATCTTATTGAGTACAATGTTTCAGTACAGCATTAATAAAACCAAATGTCTTCAAGGAAAAATTTGATACAACTAACAATGTTACATTAGCTTTATTTCAATGTAATGAAAAAGAGCACTACAGGAAACTGCTAGTAAACACTTTATCCAGGCTTCTCTTAAGAGCGCTTCTTGGTCAATTATGCCACCATAGAATACATCACCTTCACTCTCCAAAAAACCTACTAAAAGGGACAAAAATTAGAGGACATGACTAACATGGCTACATGATTAAAGATAAATGGATGATTGTTTTTGAGTAGCAAATCATCCTGGATAAATAATAAAAGGCTTATAAATATGTATGATTATATTTCATGTTAGAAGTTCTATTTACAAGGCAAAATGCAGCAATACTTTACAAAAAGGACTATTAAGAAATAGTTTGATCCATAATAATAAGTCTCTGTGGTTCAAAGTGGTTTTGCTCTTGTCATATTAATTTTGTGTGCACATGTGGGTAAGTGAATAAGGGTAAGTGAATACAATTAACACAAAAAGAAAAGGAGTACTTGTGGCACCTTAGAGACTAACCAATTTATTTGAGCATAAGCTTTCATGAGCTACAGCTCACTTCATCGGATGCATACTGTGTAAACTGCAGAAGACATTATATACACAGAGACCATGAAACAATACCTCCTCCCACCCCACTCTCCTGCTGGTAATAGCTTATCTAAAGCGATCACTCTCCTTACAATGTGTATGATAATCAAGTTGGGCCATTTCCAGCACAAATCCAGGTTTTCTCACCCTCCCCCCCCCACAAACTCACTCTCCTGCTGGTAATAACTTGGATTTGTGCTGGAAATGGCCCACCTTGATTATCATACACATTGTATCCGATGAAGTGAGCTGTAGCTCACGAAAGCTCATGCTCAAATAAATTGGTTAGTCTCTAAGTTGCCACAAGTACTCCTTTTCTTTTTGGATAAGCTATTACCAGCAGGAGAGTGAGTTTGTGTGTGTGTGTGGTTTTTGGAGGGGGGGGTGAGAAAACCTGGATTTGTGTTGGAAATGGCCCACCTTGATTATCATACACATTGTAAAGAGAGTGGTCACTTTGGATGGGCTATTACCAGCAGGAGAGTAAGTTTGTGTGTGTGTGTGTGGGGGGGGGGGGGGGGCAGAGGGTGAGAAAACCTGGATTTGTGCTGGAAATGACCCAACTTGATTATCATACACATTGTAAGGAGAGTGATCACTTTAGATAAGCTATTACCAGCAGGAGAGTGGGGTGGGAGGAGGTATTGTTTCATGGTCTCTGTGTATATAATGTCTTCTGCAGTTTCCACAGTATGCATCCGATGAAGTGAGCTGTAGCTCATGAAAGCTTATGCTCAAATAAATTGGTTAGTCTCTAAGGTGCCACAAGTACTCCTTTTCTTTTTGCGAATACAGACTAACACGGCTGTTACTCTGAAACCTACAATTAACACAATTCATCAAACAGCATTTGTGGATTATGGTCAGGCAATATAGGCAGTGTAGAGGTTAAATCACAGTTTTTCTAATGAGACTAGCAGTTTACATTCTTTCATGAGCACGGAATATTAGCAACAGCTGGGATTCTTTCATTCACAATATTCTGAAATGGATTTATTCTGCAAGGGGACATCACATTTCGCTGCAGTAAGCTCTAATAGGACAAGATATTGGCTAATATAGCAACAGCAGAAGATCAGATTAGGTGATCTTGTGGGCACACCTGGTAAAATGAAATCAGTCAGTCTAGCTGCATATGAATATTGTATATATTGTGTGCAGGATTATCTGCATTAGACTGTGTATAATGCTAACTAGCTAAAAGCTCCCCTGCCCCTTCTTGAGTTTACTCCTTTCATTACTTCTCCAGGAAAAGCAAATTTCTCATTACTTACTAATCAGTATACCCAAAGTTAGAGTGATATGGAAATAAAGAAATAGCTCACTGATCACATGAAAAGGTTCCATGCATGGAGGGAAAACCAGCATCCACTTAGCAAAGGAAAGTAACTGCCACATGGGCTGACAAAGCTTCTGTAATGTTTGTGAAAATATTGTTCCAAGGGAAGATGCAGAGTAAGGGGTCCCAGTTTGCACTTAATAGAAAACACTTCCCCTTGTGACAGCCCCAGATAGGTGTTAATGGATTCTGATTAATACCTTAGTTCACTGTGTGCTGAACATATGAGGCTGTATTCTGATCTCAGTAATACCAGGGTAAATTGGAGGTAGCTCAGTGTATTTTCCTCCAGTGAAACTGAGATCAGAATCTAGCCCAAGGTGCACTGGCTGCAAAGTTCAGCTACGTATTCCAATCATTTGAAGCAGAAGAAAAACTGGATTTGCAAACACTGTTGAAGACACTGGGACAATCTTAATGTTGCCATCCCTCACAGTTTTATTGCAAATGACCAATCTTCACAATCTTATTGCAAGTCTCACAATATCTGGAGCTTTTCTTAAAGCCTAGCTTCTAGATCCATGTGATTAGACAAAAAAAAGTAGCGTTTTTTAAGCCCTCAGGGTTGCCGAGAAACACTTGAAAATGTGACCCCGCAGTGCAACCTGCAGACTCAGAAACCAAAGGAAAATAAAAATAACCTTTTTAAAAAATTGTGATTTTTTTTTTAAGCCAAACTCAGGATTTGGGGGAGGAGAGGAGCTGTACAAGGCCACACCGCACAGAAGTCACTATTTTGAAGAGTGCACTGCCCTGCCCTCACTGGAGTGACCTCGCATGCAGGGTGTGTGTGAGGTCACACCAGCAGAGGCGAAGCATAGAGTTCTTCAAAATGGCAGCCCCCATCCATGATACCAGACAAAACTGCGTCCAGTTTTGTCTCCATACTGGAAAGGGGACGCAACCACGGAAAAAGAGGGGTTTCTGGTTTAAAGCCAGATGAATGGCCTGCCTAGATGGAGGTCTTGCTCCAAATTCTGTTACCAGATCTCAATGCTGGCAGCAAAGCAGAATATTTGGTAGCATCATGTAGCTAGAAGGGAGTTGGAAGGTCTCAGGCCTGCTGTGAGAATAGTGGCTTCCTAAAACGGTGTAACTCATACGTTCCTATTGGTATTGCTATTAGGTTTCTAATCCTCGAGGCCACTACAGACAAGGGGCCTGATTCTTTTCTTGCTTAAGCAAGCAAAACTCCACTGGCTTCACAGCAGTTATTCCCCACTGATGCTAGGGTGACTAGGTGTCTGGTTTTGACCAGAACACACAGTCAAAAAGGGACCCTGGCGGCTCCACCCAGCACCGATGACCAGGCCGTTAAATGTCCTGTGGGTCTAAGGCAGGCTAGTCCCTACCTGTCCTGGCTCTGCACTGCGCCCCAGAAGCAGCCAGCAATTCTGGCTCCTAGACAAGGGGGACCCACCAGGCTCCGTACGTTACCTCCGCCCTGACCACTGTCTTTGCACTCCCATTGGCCGGGAACCATGGCACAGCACAGAGTTAGCACAGGCAGAAAGCCTACCTTAGCCCCTGCACTGCGTCATTGACTGGGAGCCGCCAGGGATAAGCCCGTGCTCCAACCCCTGCCCCAGCCCTGAGCCCCCCCCAAAACGCAGAGCCCCCTTCTGCACCCCAAACCCCTCATCCCTGGCCCCATCCCAGAGCCCACATCCCCAGATGGAGACCTCACCCCTCCTGCACCCCAACCCAGAGTCTCCTCCCACACCCTGAACCCTGCGTCCTCAGCCCCACCCCAGAGTCTGCACCCCCCTCCTAGTGAAAGCGACGGAGGGAGGGGGAATGTAGTGGGGGGGGAGGGCCTCAGGGAAGGGGTGGGGCTAGGGTGTTTGGTTTTGTGTAATTAGACAGATGGCAACCCTAACTGATGCTGAACTTAGTCTCTAAGCACCTTGCCCTAGGAAACATACAACAGAGTGAGATTTTTAAATGAGTCACTGAAACGGAGTGTTGTTGCCACCGTGTTGGTCCCACACCTGAAGCAGAGCTCTGTGTAAGCCTGAAAGCTTTGTCTCTCTCTCACCAACAGAAGCTAGTCCAATAAAAGATATTACCTCACCCACCTTGTCTCACTGACACACACACACACACACATTTTTCATCATACCAAGAGGGAGATACTTTAAAAAAAAAACTACCTTAAAATTTAATCCCAGCAGGTGAGGGATTTCCCCTTCAAATCAGCATGTTCTGAGAGAGCTGATGCTTCCTGCGGTCTTAAAGGGAGGAGAGGGGAAAGAAGAAGAAGAAGAAAAAAAGCCACTGCCACTTTAAATGACTCAGGAAGTAAAAACCAGGATGGCCTGAACTTTAAAAGTGAAAGTAGCTGCTAATGTGCATTGGGCCCTGCTGCTTGGTTTAAGGGAGCAACTGAGATCCCAGCACCCTGCTCGTGAAAACTCAGGGGAGTGAGGTTATTCTGGCGTGTTAAATCCCAGTTGCTCAGAAGGTGAGAGACGGAGGGGGATCAGGCCGGGAGCTCAGCCAGAAACAGGAGAGGGATTGTGGCTGGAGAAGAGGAAGCAGAGCAACTGGGCCGTTCAAGTGTCGCAGGGCAGAGAGCAGCTGGAGGCTTGTGCTGGAAGCGGGGAAGCCGCTTCCCAGCAGAGAGGCAGCAGTTATCCCCCCGAGCTGAGAGCTGCGGCAGGAAAGCGACCAGGCCGGGCAGGGGGCTGCAGCCCCAGCCAGGCCACCCCGGGAGAGGCTCGCCATGGCCTCTGAGGCGGGGGAGCGCGCCGAGGAGCTTCCCCCCGACGGCACGTGCGATGTCTGCGAGCCCGATGAAGCCAAGAGCGCGGTGGGGGTGTGCGAGGAGTGCGGCTTCTCCTTCTGCCAGCCCCACGCCGAGGAGCACGGCCAGAAGTTCGCGGCCCACCGCCTGCGGGGCCCCGCCTCGGGCGGCGAGGAGCTGGAGGAAGAGGCGCCCAAGCTGGAGCGGAAGAAGTGCGAGGAGCACGGGCAGGAGCTGAGCCTGTACTGCAAGGAGCACGAGAAGATCATCTGCGTGCTGTGCGCCGTCACCGGCAACCACCGGCAGCACCAGCTCATCACCCTGGATGAAGCCTACCAGGCCATGAGGGTAAGCGCCCCTCCGTCCCTGCCTCGAGCCTCTCCAACAGGGGCAGGGCTCCTCCTGCTTTCCCCCGGTTTCTCACCGCCCTGGGACCTTCTCCTCTGCTCTGGGGGTGTCGGAGGAGGAGCTCCACTGAAGTGGCAGCATTGCACCGATGTTGTGAGTGGAGCCCCATTGCACACCCTGGGGAAACTGAGGCGCGAAGAGGGGCAGTCGCTCTCTTTGCTGGGCTGTTACGCAGTGTGTCAGTTTCAGGGTCCAGTATAGCCTGCCAGAATGTGCGTGGTGGTGTTAAGCCAGACTCACTGTTGCCCCATGTGTCCTCACCCCTTATGGCTCCCCATCACACTGACCCATAAACAGAAGGCTGGAAAGAGATGGCGAAAGAAGGGGCAAAGGGGCTTTAGAGCAGGCCCAAGGTACCTCTTTAGGATGGTGTAATCTCATGTCTGCTACCAGTGCAAGAGACAGTCCACACTCATATATTGGGTGTTGGTTGCCTGAGAGGGTCCTGCACTCCAGCAGCTCCCCATTGCCACAAGCTCCTTTGGGACTATGGCATTAGGGGATGTAAAATTAGGTTAATGCTCAGGACTGCAGTATTCTGCATCGGAAGCTGAACTGGCCCCTGGTACTCCTGAACAAGGGAGGCACAAGCAACCTCCCCTTCGCCTTTGTGTCGGTATAGAGGTTAATTCCCCTGATGATACCCAGGAGTTCATAGGCTATCATGGGCTTGATTTTCCTCTTGCACAAGTTGACACTGGAGTAACGCCACTGATGCCAGTGAAGTTGCTTTTCAATCCCATCAGAACCTCAAGAGAGTAAGGCCTCTATCTTTTTGTCTTTACAGTGCACCCAGGAAACAGACATAACCAAATTCTCTATTGTGTATTGCTGCTGACAATCCACATATAAGTCACAGCCAACTTTTGCAGTGTCGAGTTGTGAAGCTTTCATTTGGACCCATCAGTAGGCTGCATATTGGAAGCATGGTTGTTAATGCACTCTAAGGCCTGATCCATGCTGCAAAGTTTTATCTGTAAAACTTGCCTTCTGTTGGCCCACAGGCTGTATGCAGTGTGTTCCTTCTTAGAGATCCTAGGGAGGTTTTGTCTTTCAGCATTTCCATGCCTGCCCCAAAGGGATGGTTTGTGGTGTCTTTAATATCCTTGGCAAAGCAATAATTTCTGGGACCTTTTTCCACATACTGGCATCACATCTGACCTGCCCTTCCTCTGATGAGGGCATTTTCTATACTGAAATGAAGTGAGTTAGAAACGAAATCCCAGGGTCTGTCACTGCAGACTCAAAAAGCAACCAGTCAGACCAAGGTTCTTTTCTCTGCTTCTGTGTTACTTGGGGCAGCTACAGGAACATATGTGAGTTGGCCCCAGGGAGTTATCAATAGACTGCTTCTTTCTCCATCTCTTCCCACCCTTCTGTTTATGGGTGAGTAAGATGGGCAGTCATAAGGGGAGAGGACACATGAGACAAGAATCAAGAAAGAAGAGAGGGGGAAGAAAACATACATGGTTTAGAGAGTAGGGAAAGAGACCTGGTGAGATGGCAGCAACAGTGCTGGGGCATTGGCATGTGAGGACATAGAGAAAGGTAACCAGCCACCAATCAGTTGTAAAGAGCATCTCCAATGGTGGGACAAAACATGGGAACTATGGAATAAAATCCATAGGCAAGCAGCTCTCGGTAAATGTAATATTGCTGGGTTTCCTTGGGACAACTGTTTGTCCTCCCCTCCTGTATTCTATCTGTCTGCTCCAGTCTGATGTTTAGAGAGGCTATTGACATGTATAAGCCTCTTATTCTCTGAAGTGGGAAATTCTTGCATATTTCAGTAGCCTGCTGTTGCAGTGTGCCCTGGCAAATCAAGACACAGCTGGTAGTTTAATTTTAGGCCTCCCTTCCAGCCTTCATGATTGTTTTTCTGCAATCCCCTGAAAAGTGCTGCTCTGTCTCTTAGGAAGTGTGGGAGTTTTTAAAGACATGGTGTTAATTTTCTAAGTATCAAAATAGAAAGGGGGGAAAATACACAGACATGCTGCTTCCTCTTTGTTCACTGCAGATTTATTTGCTCCATTAACAGGCAAAATGACTAGCTAAAGGACTGGTAGCTCCTCTGGGTACATCTACACTGCAGCTGCGAGCTTAGAGGGTCGAGTGGGCTGGAGATCCCGAGCTCCAGCCCATGCTGCTAAGCCCACACTGCTATTTTAAGTGTGCTAACACAAGCTCTGCTAGCTCAAATCCATCTACCCAGGCTGAGAGGCTTGCTCCCTGCTGCAGTGTAGACATACCTTCGGCCTACCCTGCTGTTGCCTTTCAGCTGCACGTTTCTGAAGCCGCCTCCCATAGTTCCATAAAGCATGGACTGGATGATTCAGGGGGATTGGTAGTAAGATATTAAAAGCCTCTAAGTTGTATCCAACTCATTAGTTGCTGCTGTTGATTAGCTGAGAGTTTCTACCATCTGATGGCTGCTGGGTGGCCTGTGTGAAATACATTTGTTGGCTCATTCCAGTCTCACGGTCTAAATAATAAATATTGCTAGTGCCCGTAGCGCTGTTGTTGGCAGTCTCAGCAGAAGGGCCACTGAGAGCAGGCTCCTCTCCAACTCCGAGAGTTGGTCCCTTTGATCTGGGTTGCAGCCCATGGGGAAAGCCTGTCTGGCTGCTTTCCTTGAATTGCCTGTTTTCTGTCTCAAGTTGGGACTTCAGTCTCCAGGGCTGTCGGGACTTCAGTCTCCAGGGCTGTCGGGACTTCAGTCTCCAGGGCTGTCAAGACAGCTCCTGTTCTAAGCACTAAATTCACATGCACAATGTTTTCTTGAAGAGGTGGGTGGGGGAGAGATCTACAAATTCTGCAGGAATGCTTCCAAGCCCATCCGTGTTTCAGTGTCTCAGATTTTTATTGTGCTTCCCTTAGAAGAAGTGAAAGCTTCTGTAACAAAGACTCCACTAGCTGCAATCCATCCACAATCCACCCATTCGCAGAGGTGAAGGGGCTGGATAACAGACTGAAATCTTGTTCTTGTTTGTCAAAGTCCTTCTTTGGCTAAGGGTTCCAAGTCCCAGAAAATTAAAGATGGGCCTGACCTGCTAAATTGGAATCTGAATCCAAGCATTGCCAGGGTTGGAGGAGGTGAAGGGTGGTGGTTCTGTTAATGAATTTTTGGTTTGAAAGAGAAGTATATGGTCTGACCCCTGGAGAGAACCTTATGTTTTTTTGAAATTGGTATTGGATTTTCTTTTGGCGCTCGAGTAGTTGCTGATTAGAACAAGGCAAGTAATGCAACAGGATTAATGAATGCCCATTTCATTGAGGGACTTACTTCAGATGTGCTGAACACCCATAGCTTCCAGTGACTTGAACTGGAGCTGTGGGTCCTTAGCATCCCTTTAAAAACAAGGGGTGGGATCCTTCCCCCTGCCCCCTCCATTCCAGCTCCTTTGTTCAGGGTAAAAAGGCTGAAATGGTGTAAGCGGCTCTAAAAGCCCCGGATCTGGAAGGGACAGGTCTGGGGCAGGTATTGTGGAGACAGCCATAAGGAGTCCTTGAGAGTTAGCCTTCACAAGCCCTGGCATTGGGGGCAGGGGTGACAGGGTGTGTTGCAGCAAGCAGACAGTTTGGGGCAGTGTTGCCAGTTTAGCAAATTTGTTGCTAATCTAGCATCTTTTTAGGTCTTCAAAAGATTTTTTTCAGGCTTTCCTGTACCAAGTCTCTGAACAGTGACTTATAAATAAATTTGTGGATACTCTGGTGACACTTGCTTTTGCCCATGCTCAGGGAGTGAGCTTCAGTTCCGGTCAGGCCTTGCTTGGAGTTGGAGGCACCTGTCCATGCGCACGTCAGGGGTGTCAGAATTTGGCAGGAGGGGAGCGAGGGGAAATGCAGTGACACCAGTTGCTCCTTGCATACCTGTAGGCAGCGGCAAGCAGCTGCTGCAGTCTGACCTGTTGTCACTCAGGACCCAGCTGTGTGGAGGATGGAGCCTCTGGCTGCAAATGGTCCCACTGGGCTCAGCAGGGAAGAGACTCTCAGCACTGAGCTACCTGCCTCCCCCACCTCTTGCAGGCACTTACCATGCAGCACCTTGCATTCCTGTAGACACGCAGCACCCACCAGCCCCTGGCATCCCCCAGACACCCAGCACACATCAATCCCCCCATAGACGTTGATCACCCACAGCCCTTTACAAAGGGTCATTTACGATGAATGTGGAATCAACATCATCTCAACACAACAACCAAATACAACTCAAATAGATCCTGAATCCTCTGCTGTGCAGCTGCGAAACATGGACATTATGTTGCTCAGACTGGACAAAGCTGGAGGCTTTCCACACAAAATGCCAACATCGTATATTGGGCATAAAGTGGAATGACTTTCTTTGTAATGCAGATGTTTACTGTTGCTCCAGTCTACAGACTACTGGGTCCATTGTCCATAACCGGCATTTTACGCTTTTTAGACATATCGCCAGAATGCCACAAGGCATTCCAGCAAACTCCATTTTCTGGGTGGCTTGTAACATCCAGGATATAATTCCGCTAACTGAGGGGTGGAGGCAACCCAGAGGCAGACCTCTTCCCCCTCCCCCTTCCCCCCCCCCCCAATTACATGGGTGCATCAAGTCTGTTCCAACATCGAACTTTCAGTTGGTTAAGCCCTTGCGGCCACACAGGAATGGACCAAATGGTGAACGAGTGGTATGGCAGATTGTTCAGCTAAGCATTGAAGAAGAAGAAGAAGAAGCAGCACCACCTGTTTAGCAGCCTTACCATCTCCTACACAGAATCTCTTGTCTGTCTGTCGGCCTTGTGTTACCCATAATGCTTCCCCAGAGCTCTGTCCACCCTCCGGCACTTCACCCAGAACACTTAAATCTTGTTACAGTATATCTGAAAGGGGAAACCTTTGCATGAGAACAGTCGGGTCCTTTTGTTGAAAAGGACAGTTCTATCTCCGCAGCCATGTGGAAGAAAGGC